CAGGTTTGACTCCATAACCTGGTAATCTCCAACATTCACTGAAGAGCCATCGATATTATCGCACATGAAGTTTGCTCGCAGAATCGCTCATCTCTGCAATCCAGGTAAGACCAGAATAGACAACATTTCGATGACCTGAGCCTATAGCACAAAGGCCGCATCGCCGCCATCTGCCCAGGACAGGTACTGGTTGGTATTAACTTGGGATCTATTACGAAGATCAGTGGATAATCGACATTTAAGAATTGGGATGTATTGACATGCTGTGGTCCAGGAAGGAGTCCTGACAAATGAATAACGAATAGAATGGAAGACACGCGATCACGTGACCCAACCCTCCACCCTTCAAAACACCTGCAAGCCTCGAGGCTCACTGCAAGTCACAGCCTCCTACTAGCCACCACTTCAACGACCGCAATATCTACGCACCTCCTCCAACAGTCCATCCCTTCTACCTCTTTCCCCAGTCGCCAGGGCCTCATGAGTCTTGCCTCCACTGACTCGCACCTGACTCGGAGAGCGGCCAGCCTCACGCTCTCCGAAGCGAGGCGGCATGTCATCAAGAACTTATCGATCTCTCCTCAAACGATCGCTGGGTTTAAGAAATGCTTTGGTAGGTTCTATATTATGGGACAATTGATTATCCTGATTTTAAGGAAAGGCTGACGATATTTCCTTCAATTCTAGCTTTCCGTCGGCCGTGCACATTGGACCCTCGCGAACGGAGGGAAACTGGAAAGACGGGAGCATATTTCAAGTCCATCAGCACAAAGTTTGGCTGCCATATAAGGAGAGGGAGCCGGGCTCGCTCTCCCTTATCTCACAGCGAAGTTAGTGCCCCCCGTTCCCGCTGCGATGTTCTTCCGGAGAAGCAGATCCCCTCCCAAACCTCGAACAATCTATGTCTATCTCATAAGCGTCGTGTCGATTGGGACGCCGAGGAAGATAACACTGGAAATACACATTGCCCGTTGAAGAAATCACGCACTGTATGCATTAGAGGCGGGGCTTGCACTGACGTTGACGAGCCCATGCCACTTGCAACTTCTTCATCGCGGATAGCAAACACAATGGATATAGAGGAAAGCATCCCAAATAATATTCGAAGATGGTACCATCCCCGAACATCTCCCCTCGGACCTCAGACATCTGTCTACCATCGCCACTCAAAGCTAGGTCCCCAACTGTCCAAAGGTCCCAGTAAATCTTGTCCAAACTTGAGAATACGCTGTATACTATTAGCGTTTGAAAATGAGTAAGTATATCAACTGCTATATTTTATTGTACTGAAATTAAATACTATTTCTAGTAATAGTAAACGTGACCCGTATTCTGAGAAGGCCCAGTGGTGCGAGGACCTACTTGTCACAGGGCTTAAAGATATCTTCCATCCTCAGTATACATGTCCTCATCTATATCATCCAAGTGATCCCGAGTATGATGAAGAATGGGCCGGAGAATCTTGGAGCGACGAAGAATGGTCAGATAGCGATCCTGACGACGATGTCACAACACTATCTGATGGAAATGACGAGCAAGGTGTCAAGATCATCGCATCGGAAGAGGAAGAGCAGCAAGCGATGGATTTTGACACAGAAACTCGTCCCCAGTGGAATTCGTGGACTCCTATATCCGGGGCGAGTCCTATTTCTCAACCTTTCTTTAACGCTCCCTCCGCTTGGAAGCATAATGCCGACATAGCTGATACTCGGCAAAGGATTTCAACATATGCAGATTCCTAATCTTTCTCCCTTCTGTCGAAAACCATACGGTTCATAGGCTCAGGATTTAACCGCGACGATGAGGAATAAGATTTGGCTCTGAAGGAGTATTTGTCTGGAACACTGGAGTACCGTCCACTCCCTCTATACTTATTCATTATTATTCCTTCTCGTCGCCACCATAGCCGCATCTCCAACTTGTTCTCTCCTTCACGGACTTCGATTCACTGAATCCGACTCGGACAATTTATCAATGTCTCGTCATTCCAGAACCTCCCTTGAAGGTCGGCCTGACTGTGTCTGGCCACAGGTTATCTGGTGATCATCTCAGGGCTATCTATGCGTGTAAGCACAGTATTTCATCTTTATTTCCCGTTTCGTTGCCTGCTTGAAGGATCCTAGTATCCCGAAAGCTCATGTTCTCGACTCGAAGTTGACATGGCATTCCTTCCTTTTTCTCCACTCCTTCGTCTTGTAATACTTTCCAAATTTGACGGATCTGTCCCCTTCTTTCTTTTACCTTACGTTCGTTGAATATTCTCTTCTCCCTTTACACCGCTGCATTCGAATATGCTTACTTTTTTTCTTTCATTTCTTTTCCATGAGGATTGATTCCTGCTCGTTTTACTTTCCAATTGATGTACACCTAAATGCTTACGTGTATATCAATTTTTTTTTTGCAGAAACTGCTTACCTTTGGGTTTCTTTTAAATAGGGAATGAGAACGCATGGTTTGCATTTGATGACTCCCAACATTAGTCGGATAGAGTCGGTATAATGGTGAATAGAAAAGATGGCGCAGGTAGCCTATCAAATCTTATAGTAACCTAGCACGGGACAACCACCGAAATGATCATGGCACAAACAGTCGTTAGGCCCCTCGAACGGTAAGGAGATACACACTCCTTGAATCAGTGAAGTTGATGTTATAGTATCCAGACAGGGACCTTGTCTAAGGGGCCTTACTTATACACTAAGTAGTATTCTCAGAGTACGTATTTAATAGTGCGCAGACTACTAAATAAAATAAATAAATAAATAGCACGATATGCGAGGTCTTCAAAATGTAATTATCTTTCATTTGTCTTCAATTTTAGTATGAAAACCATTGTGCTTGCTTTCGAAATATAAAGCTCTGGCAACAAGCGTGAGAACACGGCGTGACGATAACACTGGCGTCATCATTTCAACCTTGTTCCATTCCACCTCTGCAGACACACATCGTCCTTGCATCCAAGTCATTCTCTAGAAATCATGGATATTGAATACCTCTTTAAAGCATTGGGTACGGATTATACCCCATCATCAGACGATACACTTTCAATATCCACCTTCCTTGCAAATAACAGCTTATCGAAGAGCAACTTCAGCGCAAAACGACGTATCCTCGAGAAGAATTTAGCTATAATTCGCGCTCACGAACAAAGACTAGATCAAGAAGCCTCGATATGTCATGCGGCATTGTCGCCCGTACGACATCTTCCGAACGAAATGATGAGCGAGATTTTTTTATATTGCGTTCCCGTGGATTCGACCAGCGAGCCATGTCACATTATCCCTCTCAGCTCACCCCTCGTTTTGCTACACGTTTGCCGACGGTGGCGGAGAATTGCTCTCGATACTCCACGCCTTTTTACCAAAATATCCTTCTCCCCTGATCAGCCAGTGGATCCTTTGGTCATTCTTCCTCTATGGATCCATCATTCCAAGACGCGTTCGCTCGATATTACCTTCGACTTTAGGATCCCAGCTTTACAGAATATGATCACAAATATGCCAACCCTCGATATACCCAATAATAGTACTAGTACATCAAATACCCAACTTGAAGTCTGCAAGTTGCTCTCGGGTAGTTTACCGCGTTTCAGAAAAGTTAAAATCCTTGGAAATCATGGGCCTCGATTCATTCAAATGATTATACCACCCGGGAAGCGGGCCCGTATGCCCGAATTACAGGAGTTCCACATCGCGATTGGCATGGATAACTGCAAGGCCGATCTTCACTCGTTATTATCTGACCTTCGAATCGACGGGAAAATTGTGGCTAGCAAAGTCAGGGCTCCTAAACTTGAGGTATTGGAGATAGTCAACCATCAAGAAAAGGGATTTGTCTCATTGCGTGAATTACCCATTGGTTTCGAATTCGAGTCTTCGCGGATCCGTCGATTTCGTTCAGGACATATGGAACCCATCACATTACGAATCATCCTGGGTTTGAGGAAATGTATTCAGCTAGAAGAATTGATTATAACTGGGCTCGTTCCACTTCCTTCAACTGGTACCGGCAACATCTCTTCTTTCCCTCCCATCGTACTTCCCTGTCTGCGTGTCCTCGAAATCGCATGGTCCTTTCCCGGAGATGGTCCCACCGATATCAATCATTTTCTTACATTACTACGCCTCCCATCCTTGGAAAACCTTACCCTCTCGTGTTCGAAGGGAGTTCTACCGGATACGAGTTGTGAATCCGGACTATTTTCTCTCGTATCTTCAAGTGGAGGTCCATGCCGTATCCATTCGCTAACACTCATTGGAATTTCCATCCCTTCAGATGGCTTCATTGGTATTTTGCATGAAATGACTCTTCTCAAACAGCTCAAGATAGTGTCAGGGAAATTAGATAATAGGCTCATTGAAGCACTCGTATGGAATCCACGAAAGCGCATACAAACACTTTGCCCCAATCTGTTGTTTTTGAATTTCACCAAAGTCAAAATATGGGTCCCCGACGAATATGCTCCTGACAAGCTCCTTCGGATGATACGAAGCCGGATAACTGGTCATAATCTAGGCAGTGGAAATCAAAGATGTGCTCGTTTATGCGATGTCAAGATTAATAAGACAAGGAAATGGTCAAAGATGCAGACGAAGACTTTGGAAGAACTCATGAAAGGCGTTTCTTTGGAAGTTTGCGAGTAAGACTAAGTGGTTAGCTAAGTGACTATGCTTACTCGAAGGCAAGTATAATATCATAGTCTTGCATCGATCGATAGGCTCAGTCTTTTGAAATACTCTGTAGGGATAGCAAGAGATATTATGATGGGAAATCTGGACTCATTCTCATACAACTTTATATTCGGCAGCGTGTACTTACTTCACTCAAGATTGAACTGATACTATGAATTTTTGATGCCTTAGAGGATTGCATATTAATCTGTAATCATGAGAAGAATACATAGGAAGTCAGTGTCGAAATAGGAAGGAACGCTCTCAACAAACTACAGATAATATTGGAAGAACAATTCCCCGGGAAGATGATGCTCTGAATATGCCGTACCAGTTCTTGTAGATCAGTAGTTAGATCGTTTGTCTTACACACAAAAGGTCGCAGGCCCGAAACCTGCCACGAACATTACTGTCAATACCGGAATACCTCGCTCAGGCCTTCTTCTAACTGTCATATTTGAAAGGTATTTTTCGCAATATTACAGGTCAGTATACTCTGAAATAAATGCATTGCATTTCATTCTATAAGTGTGGCCAATACAACTTGTTAAGTCCATTGTCTAATGCGTACTCTACAATTTCGCCTTGGTTTCCCGTTGTACCTTCAATTCTTTGGCTTGTTCTCTTAAGAATCGCCTTAGGATCTTGCCTATACACCGGGAGACATATTAGTCAGGTCTCTTGCCTATGCGGTGTTCCTCATACCTGATGGATTTTTTGGGATTATATCTACAAATTCAACCCCACCAGCAAGCCACTTGTATTGAACTTTGGAATCTTTCACAAACTGTAAATGATGGCATAATTATTATCAATCATGACTGAGAGACGAGATGGCTGTTTACCTTGATAATCGCCTCTCTAATCCTCTCCTTCTCGTGTCCAGTCTTGTCATTGGCCACCCGTGTCTGCGCATCGGCATTCAGCACAATGAAAGCCATAGCGACTTCGCCGCTAAACTCTTCCGGAACACCAATGACACCCGCATCTCCAACATCCGGATGGTCAAGGAGATGTCCTTCGAGCTCGGCAGGAGCAACTTGGAATCCACGGACTTTGAAGATTTCCTGAGGATAAAGATACGATATAAGATACGATATCAACGCCTTTAGGAATATGAATAGACCTTGAGACGATCCACGACGAATATATCACCATTACGTCGAACAAGGACTTCATCGCCTGTACGAACCCATCTACAATGCAAACCATCATTATGAAGATTCATTGTCCAAGAAGCGAAACATACCCATCGACGAAAGTTTCCTTAGTCCTAGTAAGAAGTTTAGGAGTCTTCACACATGAAATCACGATATCGAAGACTCACGCTTGAGCATTATTGGCGTATCCCAAAGTCATCTGTGGACCAGTTACGACCAGTTCACCCTCTTGGTCATAACCTGCCAATGAGCCGTCACTCTTGACAATCTTGGCTCGAACTCCAGGCAGGAAATGTCCGACACTACCCGGTGTGCCAAGGCGTTGCGATAAAGGAGTCTTAAGATCTCAGCGTCAGAGCAGGCTTTGCAACAATGTGAATGGAATTGACTCACCATAGTCGTTGTGGTGCAAGTTTCAGTCATGCCGTAACCTTGGTTGACCTCCGCCTGTGGGACAAGCTTCTGGAATTGCAATGTAAGTTCGGACGATAACGGTGCAGCGCCGACCATAACCCAGCGAAGGCCGCTGAGATCGTAGTTCTTAGTTGCAGGATGCTGGATAGGCATGTGAGAATAAGATAACAGAAGTAGAGGTTAATGAAATACCTTGCAGAAGAGAACGATCTGGGGAGGTACGAGCCTAAATGAAGACATAGGTGTGTGACCCTAGCATGGGAGAGTCTAATGGTGTGCTTACAACAAATGCGTAATCTTGTGTCGAACGATGCTCTTAAGCATGTTCTCGTAATTGAACTTCGGAATGACGACTATAGACATCTAGGAAGGTAGTTCAGGCCAGGGTATGTGAGACACATAATCTAATGACATACCGCGGAGAACAATATCCAATGAAGCTTCAAGTCTTCGTCAGCTTGGATAGCCTTTGCACAACCAGAGTACATACATTCAAGACAAGTCCGTAGATATCTGAGAATAGACTTAGAACGAGACCTGCATAACGAATATAGATCTGTACTCACGAAAGAAAGGAAGCACTGACACCCAAATAAGCATATAACATTTCAGGAATCAACAAACACCCACCTCCAATTGCAACATCTCCAGGTCTAAACCGCTGCTGTTCACGAGGAACCGTAGCCTGATAGGCCGGGTCTGTTACACCCTCAAACTTGGACATTTGAAGCACATTCGAAATCAATGCATAATGAGGAATTGCGACAGCCTTCGGCTTTCCAGTAGTACCAGAAGAGAAACTGTAGAATGCCAACTTCGTCTTCGCTTCGCCAGGATTAAGCTTGCGTTCAACATATGATGGCTTAGATTGCAATCCTTCGCTGATCAGATCGTCAAGGTAAGGTTCGAGTGGTGCTGCGCCAGTTTGGGGAAGATATACAATGTGGCTCTCAGGAATGGAGCTGAGGCGGGCAGCTTCGACGGCGACATCGCGAGAGGTGGGATGGGAGATGATCACTTTGGCGCGGGTGGTCTTAAGTTGGTAGACTGACGACGAAGATTAGGTTATTGTATTCAAATGACGCTTTATAAATGAATGCACCAAGTTCCTCAACTCCAAAGGTGGGGTTTGCAGCGCTGAGTGGATATAGTGGAGTCAGCTCATTGTCAGTCGGTTAGATAAGGGTATACATACGTTATGATAGCTCCTAGTCTATGTGTAGCCCATATGACAACTCCGTAATCTAGTGGATGTCAATTTACAAAGCTTAATGGTTGAACGGGTCTAGTACCGATATGGTTGGGGCTGAATAGGCAAACTATTCTCGTGCGTCGTATCAATAATGAGCTTCAAACAACTCATTAATGGAGCACGTACCAACATCGTCCTCCTCTAGCAGGCCAGACACGCATCAGAACCTTATTATTGGCAGAACCAGGTGATGACACGCACGAATATCAAACTTAGTCTTCAGAGAGCTTGCCAGACCTACACTTCGACGTCAGATTCATAAGTCCCTCACGAATAGGGAAATAAAACTCACCTTGAACTCTAGCACGGATCTCTTGCAATCCGTAGCTGCGTCCTGTCGCGTCCTCTATTAGCCACGGATGATGAGCTTGTCGGATCGGCTGTGAGGGATATTGTGTGTCAAGAATGAACTGTGGGATTGTGAGGTTGTCTGGCGGAGCAGGAAGGGAGTCTCCATAGAATATCATGACGAGGGCGTTGAAGAGCAAGTGTAGAAGTAGTATTGAGGGTCCAAGATCCGAGCCTTAACAGGGAGCTGAGGCGGTTGGTCATAAGATCAGAGGGAATTACTCGCTAGCTGCTATTCACGGTTAGCTTGCAGTCTCTTTACAAGCCACGCGGGTAACTTTAGCCTAAATAAGGCAGATTTAACAAATATTGCTTGTTCAATCGGTGCTAGGCACGGTCATGAGCCTTGTATTTGTATAGATTATGTGGTATTCCAAGTCAAATTCAAGGAAGGCTAAGGGACGTGGTGAAAGCGAAAGCACCTAGCGCTTATCGTTGTCCATTCATTTCAGCTTCATAGGTTCGGTACGAGCCCGCGCTTGCGTTGCCCTAGGGGGTCGGCTTCCCGAAGTGGAAAGGCTAGAGTCGAGCCTATCAGCCCCAGTGTGGAAAAGATGGCGCAGGTAGCTTATCAAATCTTACAGTAACGTGGCACGGGATAACCACTGAGATGATCATGGCGCAAACAACCGTTAGGCACCTCGAACGGTAAGGAGATACACACTCCCTTGAATCGGTGAAGTTGATCCGAGATGATCATGGCACAAACAACCGCTAGGCACCTCGAACGGTAAGGAGGTACACACTCCCTTGAATCGGTGAAGTTGATGTTACTATGCCGCGACAGGATGTCGCACCTCCCTCTAAAATCGATGTTTGCTGGCCACTTTGTGCCATTATGATACGGAATATTATAGTGGTATATTATGACTTAAAACAGCACTAAAATAACGAATTTAAATATGAACTTTATAAGTGAGATAATTGACCATCAAAGTGTGCCGGAGATGTATGAGTGGGTTATGAGACCCACAGTAAGAAAAATATTACAATACTTTCACATACTTTATCCGACTATAAAAGCGATGTATTGAATCATGAATTAGCCAAATCCATAATGCAGTCGTTGATGTCGTAGGACAGCTCTCTCTGACTGCCTGAGCGTGACGGCGCTTACACGGTCCATGTCGGACCAAGGGAAAAGGTGTCGAGGCTTGACGTGTGACAATATGTGACGAGAAGCTGCCGCTTAGAGGTCGCTTACGTGGCCGCGTGCGACGGCATCCGTGCGACATCCTGTCTCGTTCACCAGGAAAGCCTCTGGGAGCCACCCGCACTCGAATTTTGTCTTGGTAAGTCGTCTATTTCATTTGTTTAGATATAATGGTATAATATATCAAATTTCAGAACTGTACAATAAGTGTGAGTGGCACCGGCAAAGGAACTTGCCAAATGTGTGACATCCTGTCGCAGCATAGTATAGTATCCAAACAGGGACGACTTGTCTAAGGGGTCCTACTTATACACTGAGTAGTATTCTCGGAGTACGTACTCACTAGTGCGCAGACTACTAAATACAATAAATAAATATTACGATATCCGACGTCTTCAAAATGTAATTATCTTTCATTTGCCTTGAATTTTAGTACGAAAACCACTGTGCTTGCTTTCGAAATGTAAGGCAACACGGCGTGAAATAACACTGACGTCATCATTCAACGTTGTTCCATTCCACCACTTCCTCTCTGCAAACAAACATCGTCCTTGCATCCAAGTCATTCTCTAGAAATCATGGATATTAAATACCTCCTTAAAGCCTTGGGTACGGATTATACCCCATCATCAGACGATACACTTTCAATATCCACCTTCCTTGCAAATAACAGCTTATCGAAGAGCAACTTCAGCGCAAA